TGCCTCACCTGGTACATGTGCTGCCGGGGCCTATAATTCAGAAACAGCTCATTCACTTAGCATCGTTAGTGCACAAAGCCTGCCACATAAGCACCTTTTTCAGATGAATGAGGCTGAGTGATGAAAACAGCCACATTAACCACTTTTTATAAGACTCCAAAACGGATTACACATCTCGCTTTCTTAAAAAGATTGTTTTCATCAAAATGTTCCAAACACTTTCCTGTCAGCTCCGGAGTGTGCTGAGGCAGTGGGCCATTTGCTCCTGCACTAAGGAGCCAGGATGTGGGAGGCGAAAGTGCTCATTTTCCTATTTCCACCATGGCTCACTCACTCCCTTCCCATCCTCAGTTCTGAAATAGCCCAAAAGTTAAAGGCGACTGTGACAGAAAAGCTTTGGTTCGCACAACTTTTAAGGGGAGGATACCAGCCTTGTACTGTGGTGTGTGCATGGGCTTCCCGAGTACTGTGCTGGGAGTCCAAGTTCAAGTTGACACCAAGGTCAACCTGACCTTCACAGCCTGGGCCATTCAGGTGAGCTGTGCTCCAGAGTGCAGAGGGGTGCATATGGGGACATGCCGGGGGCTGTCGAGGGGTCGCACTGCTATTGCTAAGGCCACCCAGCGGTCCCTGGAGGCACTCCTTTCTGAGGCTGAGCAGGATGCCCCAGGGCAGAAGCTGCTGGACTTGGCCATGACTGTGTCGTACTGACGACGCCTCCCTCATGGACTCTGCTCTGTACACAGGACACCATTTGTGGTTCCTTGCATCCTTGGCTACATGGTTATTATAAACACCAGCAATTTAAAACAAGCATCTCAAACCACAGAGGACAAGTGGCTAAAGCTCTGGCTCCCCCCTAGAGGCACCCTCAGGCCTCTCCCTCCCCCCATTCCACCCCAAACCCTCCCTCTTACCCACTATGACAGCCTGAGGTTCGCAACAGTGCCTTGGCTTGGGTCCTATCTGCCTTGGAGTCTGGGACTCGGGTGAAACAGACAAGCCCTGAGGTCATCAGCTACGGGGCGAGGCTCCTTTTTGACCTCCCCCTTCCCCTGCCCCGAGGTGGAAGGAGCAAAAAGTGTGTATCTCCTGCATCTCATCCTCGTCTCAGATTTTCCTGAAGTCTCTGTTAAATCCTGCTCTTCCTTTCCCTACCCTGGCATGGTTCCCTAAGTACCCCCCTCCTTCCTTTCCTCAGCACCCTCGCTTACTCCAAGTGTCCCACCAGCCCCCACCCTCCCTCCCCCTCTCTGCAGGCATCCCCTGGGCCCCTGAGACTGCTCATAACCATCAGACTGGGCCTGGCATTCCAGGCTCCAGCCAAGGTCTATCGGCCCGGCCCTGCCCTGCCCTGCCCAGCCCGACATGCCCAGAGCCTGGCTGTGCCACAGACAGAGGAGGATAAAAGCAGCGGCTCGCTGGGGCACACCCACCTCAACCACGCAGCAAGGAGGCCCTGGCGGCTAGAGGCAGCTGTTCAGAACCTCTATCCTGGGGGCCTACAGGAAGGAGAGGAGGCTTTGGGGACTGCTTCATATCCCCTGCTCCCATTGGCCCAGCAGCGGCTCTCTCTGATCACCTGCCCCTCAAAATTGTCTCAGCCACTGAGGTCCCTAAGCAGGAGGGGGAAAGACTGCCCACCCTGCTTCTCTCTGCCCACTCCTTCGCCACCCACCCACAGGCCTGTCTGCCAGGTCCCAGGCTGAGGAGCGGTTATTAATTATTAAAGCAAACAAAAGCATTTCCTAGCAGGGAGGCTGGCCTGCAGCTGCTTACAGGAAAGGCAGCCCCAGCTGGCTTCCCTCTCAGGGCCCTTGCAAGTGAGGTAGAACCAGCTCAGGGCGGAGGGCTGGCCTGGGTCCTCCAGGGGTCTCCCCAGGCTGGGCATCACATCAGGATGAGGAGACAGCTGCTTCTGTGCTGAGCACTCTAACAAGAGGATGCTCATCTGAAGGGGAGTCTGGAAAGGGGGGTGGGGGGCTTGAGCTGGGATATGGGTTTTGGAGATAAAGCCCTTTTGGCTCAGAGTAGAAACAGTTATGGCAACAGCCAGGGTCCTGTGCAGCGTTCCCCACTGGGAAGACCCTGCCAGCCCTCAGCAGCCGCCTCCAGGGTGAGGGTATGCGGCCCCTCTTTTCCCTCTATATCCCCCTTTTGTTGAGAACCTCCTTCCTGTTGGCGGAGCCTCCCCCCCTGTTCTTAGGCTCTGGGTCTTCTCCTCCACTTCCAGCTCTGTAAAACCTTGGCTTTGTAAAGCCAGAGAGCAGCAGCTGCTCCAGGACCTGGTTCCTGGGGTCAGGTTGGTCCAGGAGACCATGAACAGGGAGGGGGAGCCCAACAGAATGAGATCGGTAACCTTCAAGAAGCTACTTCTGCTTCCTTCAGCAGATGCTCATTGCCCACGGCGCCCCCCCCCCCCCGCCATCCCCAACTGCTGGAGCCTGTACTTGTGCTGTGGACACAAGGATGAACAAGCCTTACTCTAAGGGAAGGGACAGGCTGGCAGGCCAAGGAAGCTCGGGAGAAGCAGGGCACAGCTGGCCCTGGCCCGTGGCAAGCAGCCTCAGGCAGCAGCACTAAGAACCATTCCCCTGGGCTGAGCGGAGCACACAGATAGAGAAGATACTGGGTAAGACTGGTAGGCCCGTGGGTGCTGGGCGCAGCGGAACTGTTTCAAGAGACATTGCTGCATGACAAGAATCACACGGGTTCACTGACGTGTGTAACCGAAGAGGGACGGGACTGGAGAAAAGTTCTTTGGAAATACTGCTTTGGTCCCCGGTGTGCGGCAGCTGGTTTTGGGCAGTGCTGAGAGGCTGGGGCGGATAGTGGGAAACCTGGGTGGGTTAACCTTCAGCCAGGGAGGCAAGCGGTGGAGGGCAAGGGCGCGTCATCATTAAAAGTCGGCTGTGGCCACTGAGATTAGGAGTAAAACACAGAGGGAACTTCCAGAAGCCTTGACAACCAGGTGACAATGGGTTAAGGAGAGCATCCAAGACAACAACGGTCGGATCCCAGCAGCCTGGAAGGAGTGCTCCTCGTCAAGTTTTGCAGAGCGGAGCCGGAGAGGAGCCAGGCAGAAGTGGAAGAGGGAGGCCGGGGATGGGAAAGAAGTTTTGTTGTTGCTGTTTTAGGAAGGGAAGACCTGAGCACAGGGCCATCGGGGACTGAGGTACAAACAGGAGAGAGGCCGGGCTACCTCAGGAAGAATGAGGAGAGGATTAGCCTGCTCTCGACTGGAAGGAGGTGGCCCAGAGTCACTCAGGGGTGGTGGAAGAAGGGGCCTCCTCAGCTGTGTCCTAGGACAAGTCTCTGGAATTGGAGATAAGCCTCCCAGGCCTGAAGAAACATCCCTTTTCAAATTGGAGAAGCCTTTTGAGTCCCACCAGGGTGGTCCTGGCGACTCAGAGTTGGCCCCCAAACACCAGTCAGGACCCCTGTGCACAGACAGCACTGCTGGTGGCCTGATCCATGGAAGAGCCTCATACCCACACCTTCTGCACCCACACAGGCCGCAAGGGTACTGCCTCCTTCCCCTCATCGGACCTGCCGCCTGGGGCTGCGCAGGGGAGGGTGGGAGGGAAATGGGAACCTGAAACCCCAGAGGCCCCCGTGGGAACTCCCCATCCACTCTTACAAGTTCTCACCACCTAGCCAGTGGCGGAGAAAAAGATGGGGTCGTATTAAGAAAGTGACCATGTCAAGTTAAATTTCAAAAGAAGAAGAAGAACCAATGGAAAAACAGGCAGGATACAGAATTGCACGCATTTCACAGGGAAAAAAAGGGCCATGGGAACAAAGGTGGGAAGGAAACACACAAACGTGTTGACAGTAGTTGTTGTGTTAGAGAGGTGGGAATTCGTTCCCTATTTCCCAGTTTTCTGGAATCTAGTTACATCACAAATGAATTAATCATAGGCAAGACCTTTGCCTTTCTGAAGAAATGAGCTCCAGAGAGAGCCCCCGTGCTCCCCCCTGACAGCCATGGAAGGACAGGAGGGCAGAGGCACTGGTTCAGCTGCAGCATGAAACAGGTGTGCGTCTGTTAGGGGTGAGCTTGGTGCAGGACTGGGGATGTGAATGCATGGCCCTCGAGCCCGGCCTAGTCTGCCCCGGCAACCCCCCGTCCAGAGTCCCTTCAGGCTGCTGGACAAGCAGCGGCCCAGAACACTGGGGAGGCAGCTTTCGCATGCCCCAGCTGCCTGCAGAGGCAGCACCTCCCTAATCCCCCTCCATGCTCAAAACTAGGGAGACAAAAAGCTGGGGATCAAAGTGTTGTAGGGGACAGGTCAATAAATCTTTAAACTTCCTTTCCAGATCCAGGAGTCTGCCCCCCCATCCCGCCTCCCTGCACAAGCTCCTGCAAAGGAGTCAGAAGAGATGAGGCTGGGTTCCCAGGGACACGCACCTCCCGTAGGACCCACTAGAAAAACACCTTGACCAGAGGCGGGACCTGAGTGGCTCTGCCCCATTCCCAGTCCCAGTCCCTCTAGCCAAGCTGACTGACCACCTCATCTTTCCCTACTCAGGCCCTACCGCTTCTCCAGTCCTGCACACCCATCCTCCAACTCGGAGGGGCGTGGGAAAGCAGAAAGGGGCTGGGTTTCGTATCTTTCCTGGTAGAGAGCCACGGAATTGGATCTGTCCGGGAGAGGTACTAGAACTGCCCAGGAAGGAGGGGTTGGCCATTCCTTGACGGCTGGTGGCTACAGGGCATACTTCTTCCACTAGAGCAGTGGGTGTGTGGGCCCGCCTGCGACAGCCAGAAGTCAGAGCCCGGACAGCCGAGACAGGAGGCAGAAGCCCCGCCCCGCCCGGCCCGCCCCACAGCCTCAGGAAGAAGCACAGACGCTCGGGGCAGGGTGGGCGGGAGAGCTTGCTGGGACTGTCCAGAGTTAGGACTCCCTCCAGCCCTTGCCTTAGCAGCTCAGCTAGCTGGGCGAAGGCGACGCGGAGCCGTCCAACTCCTGCGCGCCCGGTCGCGTCCGATCGCTTACCTCTGCGCCGCGGTGCTGGCGTCCAGGATGCCCGCGCCCTGCATCCAGGAGCGCACCGAGCCCAGGCCGGCAGGCAGCAGCGGCTCTTCCTTCAGGTTCAGCCCTCCGCGGGGCAGAGCGTCCTGCGCCGGGAACATAAGGGCGCGCAGTGGGTGGGCGCCCCCGCCGCTGGGGGTCCGCTCCCCCTGAGGCCGCGGGCGTCTCAGCTCCCCCGGACCCGACGGCACCGGACGCCTCTAAGAGCGCAGCGCAACACTGAGTCCCGGCGGCTCAGTGCGCACTAGCCTCTGGGGCGCTCCCTCGGAGAAAGCGGGTCCGCCAGCGCCGGCGCTGTCCCCTCCCCTCCCGGGGCGCGGGGCGGGGAGATGGAGGGATTCCCCCGCGGCCTGAGCGCCGGCGGGCGGACTGCGAGCGGCGGGGCGGGGAGGGCGGGAGCGCAGCCGGCACCCGGTCCGCGCGGAGGCGCCCCAGAGGCGCGCTCTGGCGGCTGCCCAGGGCCGCGGCCGTCGGAGGGGGGGGGCCTAGCGCCCCAGGAGCTGCCTCAGGCGAGGAGGGGGCGCGCGGCTGCCCGCCCTTTCCCCCCCGCCGCCCCCACCGCCCGCCCGCCCGCCCGCGGCGCCGGCGCGGGGCGCTGATTACCATCCGGGAGGCGGAGGCTGCGGGCGCGGAGCTCGGCGGCGGCAGCGGAGGAAGGAGCAGCAGCAGCCGCGCGTCCCGGGGAAAGGCAGGGACAGCGGCGGGCCAGCAGACGCCGCCGCCGCCAGCGCCCCGCGTGCCCCGGCGCCCCGGCCCCGCCGCAGCCCCAGGCGGCAGCACCTGGAGCAGCAGCAGCAGCAGCCCGGCCGACTCCCCCCGGGCCCCGGTTCCCGCGCCGCCCCGCCGCGGGCGCCGCCGACCGCCGCTCCCCAGGGCCTGGCCGCGGGCCCGGGCCATCCCGCCGCCGCCGCCGCTCCCGGGGGAGCGGGAGCCGAAGGGAGGGAGCGCGGCGGGAGGAGGGATGGCGGGAGCGGGCGGGCCCAGGGGACTGGGGCCGGGGGAGGCGGGGGCGGGGCGGCGCGGCCGGCCGAGGGGCGGCCGGGGACGTGACATCATCGGGGGAGGAGCGGCCGGGCCGGGGCCGCCGCGGCGGGGCGGACCCTAGCGAGTCTGCCGCCGGGGCCGGGGGCTGCGGCCTGGCCGAGGCTGCAGAAAAGACCGGAGGGACATCGGGGGCCGGGGGTCGGGGGCTGGGGGCGCGGCAGCCGGCAGACGGGCTGTGAGCAGACGGGCTTGTGTGGTGGGGAGCCAGGCCAGAGGCGGAGGAACGTGCCACGACGCGCTCAGGAACCGCCACCACCTTGGGGTCGCCCCAGGACGTTCCTCCGGCCTCTTGTCAGCCTCGTCTCCATCACCTAAGTACCCGCCGCTCTTCACGGCGACGCCCTGGTCCTGTCCTTGCTGCTCGTTTTGACGCCTCCAAGCTTTTGCTCTTGATGTTCTTTGCTCGCCTGCAAAGACTGTCCTTCCCGCATTTTCCTGGTGAACCTGACCTCGATTTAACCTCAGCGCAGGACTCAAACCTCTGTCTCTTAGACTGGGCCGCGGGGTGATGAGGGGAGTCCCCGCACAGGCCTCCCCGCACCCCATCACCCCTAGTTCCTGTTGCCTAAATGGGAGCATTTGCCTTGCAGCCTCTGCCTTTCAGAAACCTCTTGATTTTTTATTGCAAGTTGAAGATTTAGTGGTTGGAGTCAGGACTGAGAGCCAGCTCACTTGTCTTTCTCCTCAGCCAGAGAATTGTCCCTCTCAGACGTCATTCCTGGCGCCGAGGTTGTCTTGCCCTTGACTCTGGGGCCCGGCCATTTCTGCCCCTCTCTCCACATTCTGTCCTGGGGTGTCTTGGGCAGGCTTTGCACAAGCCCAGAACGTGCCCAGCACTCCCCTGCAGAACATCGTGAGGGTGGCCAGCCCCGCCTGTTCTGTCACTCTCAGGCACCGCTTCCTGTCCCAACAGACTCCTGTCCTCTTTTGCTCTTTTGGGGGACCTCCAAGTGTGCAGTTAATAGCCCCCCCTACATGGACCCAGATGAGGGGTTCCAGGGGCACTGCTCTGCCTCCTACCACCCCAGAGGTCCCCTCACCTTTTCTGGACCTGTCCTCTTTACCACCCCTCCCTCTCCATGCCCACCTGCAGGGCCTGGCATTGCCTCTCAGACTCATCCAGGTTTCAGTTTTCACCCAGGTGAGATTATCAAAGGTAGTTCTTTCCTTCTGGTGGGTTCTTAGGCCAACGTCCTTCTCCATCTCTTTATCTGGCTCCCTTAATCCTTGCTCCTCCCCGCATCGGCAGCGTGGGCATTGCATGGGAGCTTGTTACAAATGTAGAATCTTAGACCCTGCCCAGACCTGCTGAATCAGAACCTGCCTTTTAACAAGAGCCCAGGTGATTTTCATGCACATTACATTTGAGTCGCGTTGCTCTAGAGAAGCCCCCCAAGGCTGTGGCATACATACGCCACCCTTTCTCCAGCCTTCCAGCCTTTGCTACCTCTTACTACGTGGAGAGGATACAGGGAATCCTGACAGGACCCTGCTGTCTCTGAGCTGCCCACCTTTTCATCCTTTCTCAGTTTCTTCATCCATTCTCTCCTCTCCTTGCACGAGGACAAGTAAATACCGGGGACCTCTTTGCTCAGTCCCACCTTTTGCATCTCCTGGTGTTGCCCCATCTGATCTGTTTGTGTCTTCATCGTCCTCCTTTCCTCTGCTCAGGACTCCTCATTCTTCAAAGAACCCTCCCTTTGTCCCCACCTTCTCCTCCAACGTGTGTCCCTCCTGTTTCTGAGAGTCCACAGGCCCACTCCCCCAAACGATGCCTTCCTTGCCAGCCCCCCATGAGCTGCTCCCCAGCAAGCCTCTCCGGAGCCCTGGTGGTCTGGCCCCCTCCCAGCTCCGCAGCCATGTTCTCTTCTCCTCTCAGGCCTCTGACCTCCCTGCAGTATTGGGCTTCCCACTCCTGCCCCCCAAAACCATCCTGATGACCAAAGCACTCCTCTCACCCCTCTGAGAGGCGCTTTAGCCCCTCTGAGAGGCGCTTTAGCCCCTCTGTGCCTCGTATCCTTCTCCCTCGGAGACCTGCGCTCCCCCAGGGTCTCAGAAGCCACTTTAGGAAAATGATCGAGTGTGGGCCTCCCTCCTACTTCTCTCAGTCCTGAACGTCAGCTGGCGAGGACAGAGCTGGGCTTGACCCTTTGGGGGGCAAGGGGGGGACCTGCCTCCACCGAGGGTCCCTATCATGACAACTCTGCCCCTGGGCCGGGCTACTTCGCCTCCATATGCCCAGGCCACACCGCCCATTCCCCACAAAGTGGCTCTTCCTCCTGGCTCCCCTGTCTGCTGGCGACACTTCCTCCTGGTGCCCGCCTGGCTTGGGGCCCAAGCACGCACCCCTGATGCCTCTGTCAGATCTTAAGGATTCTCCCTCCACGTCCTTCTTCCTAGGGCCCACAGTGGATATCTTTAACGAACTTGTTTGTCCTCCCCTGCACTCTCCCTGGCTTGGGGGAGAAATTCGCCCCAGTCCAACGACAGCCTCCTCAGATATCTCCCCTTCCCCAGCTGTCCACCCCTCCCCAGCCACCCTCCATCCTCCTGCCACAGTTTTTTTAAAAGCATGCCATCACCTGCTTAGAAACTTACAAATGTCTTCCATGGCTCCCCAAGGAGACATTTAGGGACATTCCGGGCCATCTGATGCTTGATCCAAATGTCTCTTGCTGGCCTCCCTGCCATCCCCTTGCCGTGGAAGTCTCTTACTTGCCTGACAACCTTGCTGTTTCTGACACGCAGACCACTCTCTCAGCTCCCTGCCTTTACTCCGCTGTCCCCTCTACCTTTGCCAGCCCCCCATGAGCTGCTCCCCACCTTTGCCACACCTTTCCTCTCTGGGAGGCAACAGGGTCCACAATCCTTTTCATAATGTCGAAGGGCCTTAGTGGTGCAGATCTGCATGGTTCTAGGAGACTCTTGCCAAGGTAGATTTGGGAATAGTTGTCAATATTAACCTGGGGATAATGAAAGGGGAGTATGTCAACCCAGGAGAAGTGGTACTGAGCCAAGGCCAGTCTGGACGGGCTCCTGACTTGTAACTAGTATGGGTTTCTATTCTATTCTCACTGTATGGACTAGAAAAGAAACCAAGCAGGGTGGTGTTTGAGGCTTTAGGGCTAGAACTGCTGGACCAAAGGGGTAGGGTGATAAGGCCTTCCCCTACCAACTGGACTCAGCAGGTGGAAGGCCAGTGAGCAAGTTCTCAGTCAGCCTTTGGGGTCAAAGTAGTCATCTCTGTTTTACATCCAGAAAGTCTGCTTCTTGGAACTTTATGTGCGTTTTCATTTTGCAAATTTCTCCCCTCAAACTCCTGCAGTTTCTCCATGAGGAAGGGATTTTGGGACCTGCTGTGGCTGTGGTCACAGAGCTGGAGGGGTGATGGTAACAGGCAGAGGAGGCTGGGTCCAAGCCCACAGAGAACACCGGTCCTTTCTGGCCCAGACAGAGGCTCACCCCAGACCACCAGCCCAGGGCCTGTGACCTCACCCTTCCCTGTCCTGCACATTCATGCTCCCATCCACCCGAAGGGCTCTTATCACGTGCCCAGGGTGAGAGAATAAGGAAAGACTAGAACTCGGGCTCCATCCTCAAGGGCACCACAGTGTGGCGGTGTGGGACGTGTAAACACTCCGTCACTCTGGAGTGACCTGGGTTGCTAAAGATGCAGGGGCAAGGATGGGGACCCACACAGCGGGGCCTGAGCCTGGGAAGAGGTGAAGGGGGTCTTGGGCAGAAGTGCCAGCATAGGTAAGAGTAGGAGGGCTCAGTGACTGGGTTTGCTGCGCTCGCCGCAGAGTGGAAGCTTGTAATACCTGCAGCATCATGCTGGTGCCGAGGAGGGCTCACTGAGGAGCCTGGAATTTTTCCTGGCCTTAAAACAATAGTTTTAAAATAGGCATACAGAATTGTACACCTGAAACCTATGTAATTTTGTTAACCAAAGTCACCCCCGTGGATTCAATAAAAATCTTTTAAAAAAATTGGTAGCACTCTTCCAGTCTCTCTCTTTCTCTGAAAGGGGATGCAACCCCGTTGAAAACAAACCCAAAGTGCTGCATTGGGCAGAAGTTGGGCCGTAGCGCCCCCTGGAGGTCTTAGTGTGTCTGATCGGCACGTGGATCCCCTCCTGTTGGGAATTAAAATATAGGAAGAATAGATAATAATAAAGCATGCATTAAATATGGCTGTTCGAATAATTCCATGAAGAGAACAAAAGCGACTAGGGCCATCCCAGAGGTGTCCTGGTGGGTATGCTCACCTCTTAGCCTTCCCGTGGACTCCTGAGGTCTCTTCAACTGCTTCAGGAAAAACCTGCACCACGGGTGTTGGTCTTGCCTCGGAATCCATCCCATTCTGCACATCTAGGCTGAGTTATTCAATCCTGAATAAAAGCAGCATCAGAGCTGCAGTGGAGGTGAGGTGAGCTGCCTCTTCAGTCTCTGGACTGGAGCAAAGGCTGCATGTCCCCTCGATACTCCTGGTTGTTCACCCCACTACTAATCACAAACCACCTCAGGGACAACCAGACTGAATCCCCACGGGGGAAGAGGGAGGGAACCATTTTTCCTGGTGCAGCCAGATCTTCACTAGGCTGGCCCTTTTGTTCACCTTCTGGCTTGAAGAGACGGTCCAGGACCTGTAGGTTTCTAACCAAAAGCCGTAACAGCACCCAGCACTCTCCTGGAGCATGCTGCCCCTTACCGACCCACAGACAGTGGCAGAAAACCTGAAATTGAATTATGTGTATACTTTTTACTCATGGGCAATATCCACTTTTTCTGAGTGCTATGGGATCAATAGCAAAGGAAGCCATCACCTCCGAAGAAAAGCAGGAGAGGGGTGGG